TTTAACGAAAGTCTCACCGGAAGCTTACTTCTCGGGACGCGCGACGGCGGAAATTAAAATGAAGGTATTATGGGGAATGACAGAATTTTCGTATATTTGAAATGAAACTAGATAATTAAAAGCCTTGCAACGTCTTAACTTGGTAATTGGGGGTTACTCGATGTTTCAAGCGTAGGAATTAGAAAGCTTACTTTCCATCATTGTTCAGCCTTTTGTTAAAATTCAACCAGCGCTTTATGCGATTCGTTTTCGTAGAGGTTCCATCATGTCACTTCCGACGGGTTCTCGTCGGGGAAGCCCGCGTTTCATCGACGCATAATAAATGGAAAGGCCGCGTTCTTTAACGCGACAGTGAGTTAAACGCCGAACCGTAAATCGTTTCCCCACTCTGTATAGGAAAAGCGTATCCGGTGCCGTCAAGGCTCTCGCTCATAAATCACGCCGCGCGCACTCGCGGGAGCCCTCTGAAATCGAGAGGGGAGGGGGAGAGAGAGAGAGAGAGAAAAAATCGGACGAAGGAAAAATCGCCTAGCGCACCGTTGTGCGTTTGCCGATATCGACCATATAAAAAATATAACATCCCACAGATGCATGTATTGGTCTAAATTAATGATGGGACTCTCGTAGCGACTAGAAATCCGCTCAGATTGTCGAGAATCCTACCCGGGGTTTTTTTTCGTAATCGCGTTACAAGTGTCCTTATCACTGACAGAAAACAAATGGTTACAGTTACCGCAATCTCACTACAATTTATAGTCTTTTGAGGAGCCAAACACATTTTTATAATTCTTCCAACTACGTTAGTTATGGTTGGCCTAACAGTGTATTATAGTTCTCATAGACACAATATTGGTCCATGCAACTTATGATACGGTTATCATAAACCAAAACGAGCTTTTAATTTGGTAAGGTGTACTATAAATATCGCAATAACAACCACAAGTAAAATTTCGAATAACCATATGTAATAGTAAGTATTTATAAAGTAGATGGAAGTAATATTCCCCGCTATTTATTATACAGGGTGTTTCAGGGTAAAGTGTCCTAACTTAAAATATGAACTTAGGACCTCAAAACAAGAAAAAACTTTCCTCTGGAGACATGTCCGTAAACACTTTGTTTAAGAGATATTGACATCTAAACATTTTTTCATTATAAAATTTTATGAAATTGTTATCGGGTTATAATAAATAATTTAATAGTGTGCTTCAAATACTTTATTATTAAAAAATATGAAAATTTTTACTTAATTATAAATTTTGTTCAAAGTGACGGCCTTGAACATTGAGACAGGCTTGGCATCTGTCTTTGACGGTAGCAGTGGCAGAGCGGCACTGAATAGCTAAATTGTTTCACATGCTTGAATAATTCTTCCTTGTAAAGAATTAATGTCATTAACCGGCTTTTCGTAGAATTTTTGTTTAATAGTATCCCAAGCAAAAAAATCCAATGTCCGTCAAATCCGTCAAAGACAGATGTCAGGCCTGTCTCAATGTTCAAGGC